TTTAGACGAACACCGCTGACCCCTACCTTCTCCTACACTAAGTTTGAAGCCGCAGAGACTAAGTCCCGTTCGGCAGTTTGAATTCACTCCTATACTAAGCTAAATGCACGAACGGCCTCGTTCGTGCATTTGAATGGGACTTAGTCATTTTTATGGAACTGTTTTGGGCAGGAAAACTTGCTTGCGGTCGGTCATAAAGGACTTCCGTCTAACTTTTTATCCACTGGAGGGATTTGTATGATTTTTGGTTATGTTTATTTTTAAAGTGTGCTGATTCTGAATATGTAATTTTTAAGATTGGACGTATATTTTTAAAGTTACAGTGTATGTATAAAAAGTGTATTTTTCCTGCCCCTTGTGTTCAGTAATTATATCACAGGCAGAGGGGAGGATTTGTGTGTTATTGATGGGTGTGTTTTTACTGTATGTTACGTGTTTATTGGTTGTTCTGCAAAACCCTGTGAGAGGTCCTGTATGTGTAAGACCTCCATAAAAGAAGGCCCTTTGGTGCCAATTAAACAGAATGACTTGACCCTCTAACTTGCAGCCTCGACTCATGTTTGTAGGGGACAGCTATAATCACTACAGGGATTGCTATGCTCTTCATACTCCCTTAGCCACTGAGCTCTTGTTCCTGATCCTGCATCGCTCTATCAGGAGGACTTCCCGCAGGCTCTCCCAGCAGAAGAGCTGGCATCAGGGCAGAGCGCCGCAGGCTTCTACCCTACCAACCCCCTTGTTACAGGACTGGCCTGCAAGCCTCTTACACCAGCAGAAGCCCTGGCATCCGAGCAGAGCGCCGCTGACCTCTGCCCCCCAAGTACCACCAGCTGTTTGCCAAGCTGCACCAGTAAGGCCGAGGGTGCTGCATTTACAACCTGGGACCTACAGGCCAGTACTATTTATTGTGGAGGGGCTACTCTGCCAATGTTTATTTGTGGGTGGGTTGGGTTCACTCTACAGAAGGAAGAGGTTCACCTACTGGAATCTGGAGCCAGGGTGGAGAGCAAACAACATTGACTTTAAATTACCAGAGGCTAGGGGAGAGTCTGATAGTAGGGAACTCCATAGGAATCAGAAGAGTTCTTAAACACGAATGGCAAAATTTAGGCAAAAGTAGTTAATATGGAGAGGAAAAATGTTTTCCCAATTCATTTTTATTCAGTTTTTAGTGAATTAAAACCTCAGTAGCGACTGCTCTGTTTGAAAGCTTTATGTCTTAATTTCATGATAAAATCCTATACAGGGAGTGCAGAATTATTAGGCAAATGAGTATTTTGACCACATCATCCTCTTTATGCATGTTGTCTTACTCCAAGCTGTATAGGCTCGAAAGCCTACTACCAATTAAGCATATTAGGTGATGTGCATCTCTGTAATGAGAAGGGGTGTGGTCTAATGACATCAACACCCTATATCAGGTGTGCATAATTATTAAGCAACTTCCTTTACTTTGGCAAAATGGGTCAAAAGAAGGACTTGACATGCTCAGAAAAGTCAAAAATAGTAAGATATCTTGCAGAGGGATGCAGCACTCTTAAAATTGCAAAGCTTCTGAAGCGTGATCATCGAACAATCAAGCGTTTCATTCAAAATAGTCAACAGGGTCGCAAGAAGCGTGTGGAAAAACCAAGGCGCAAAATAACTGCCCATGAACTGAGAAAAGTCAAGCGTGCAGCTGCCACGATGCCACTTGCCACCAGTTTGGCCATATTTCAGAGCTGCAACATCACTGGAGTGCCCAAAAGCACAAGGTGTGCAATACTCAGAGACATGGCCAAGGTAAGAAAGGCTGAAAGACGACCACCACTGAACAAGACACACAAGCTGAAATGTCAAGACTGGGCCAAGAAATATCTCAAGACTGATTTTTCTAAGGTTTTATGGACTGATGAAATGAGAGTGAGTCTTGATGGGCCAGATGGATGGGCCCGTGGCTGGATTGGTAAAGGGCAGAGAGCTCCAGTCCGACTCAGACGCCAGCAAGGTGGAGGTGGAGTACTGGTTTGGGCTGGTATCATCAAAGATGAGCTTGTGGGGCCTTTTCGGGTTGAGGATGGAGTCAAGCTCAACTCCCAGTCCTACTGCCAGTTCCTGGAAGACACCTTCTTCAAGCAGTGGTACAGGAAGAAGTCTGCATCCTTCAAGAAAAACATGATTTTCATGCAGGACAATGCTCCATCACACGCGTCCAAGTACTCCACAGCGTGGCTGGCAAGAAAGGGTATAAAAGAAGAAAATCTAATGACATGGCCTCCTTGTTCACCTGATCTGAACCCCATTGAGAACCTGTGGTCCATCATCAAATGTGAGATTTACAAGGAGGGAAAACAGTACACCTCTCTGAACAGTGTCTGGGAGGCTGTGGTTGCTGCTGCACGCAATGTTGATGGTGAACAGATCAAAACACTGACAGAATCCATGGATGGCAGGCTTTTGAGTGTCCTTGCAAAGAAAGGTGGCTATATTGGTCACTGATTTGTTTTTGTTTTGTTTTTGAATGTCAGAAATGTATATTTGTGAATGTTGAGATGTTATATTGGTTTCACTGGTAATAATAAATAATTGAAATGGGTATATATTTGTTTTTTGTTAAGTTGCCTAATAATTATGCACAGTAATAGTCACCTGCACACACAGATATCCCCTAACATAGCTATAACTAAAAACAAACTAAAAACTACTTCCAAAAATATTCAGCTTTGATATTAATGAGTTTTTTGGGTTCATTGAGAACATGGTTGTTGTTCAATAATAAAATTAATCCTCAAAAATACAACTTGCCTAATAATTCTGCACTCCCTGTATGTTACACAATGAGAATATTAAATATTTATAAAAAAATTTAAAGCCACATTATTGCATTTCCATGCCCTCCGATCGGAATCTAGAACACATTCCTTTGGTGAGAAAAATTGTCAAACAATGGGGCATTTTATGGTTGTATAGTCCTTGAGAAAAATCAATTGTTTTACTGGAAAGCTTTTTTCAGTGACTACCAGTACAACTGTGGCTAGAGGAAATATGTCACAGTCGATCACGATCGTTAACACAGTTTGATTAAAAATATGGATACCTTAGCAGTTCAATTCGTTATGTGATGAGCAATAGGACCAACAAGAAGAAAGCCAATCAGTCAAAGTGAAATATCAGTAAGAGAGGTTTCACAGAGACAGCAGGCCACAGGATACAATCACATTATACAATCACCCTGGTCAACAAAATAAACAATTGGAGTTTGAATTCTTGTTATCACAAGGTTAAAGGTAAATAATTAAACTGTATGTGCTTCTTGCCTCTCAGTACAGAAGGTCTGCCAAGGTCACAAGAAGCTATGCAATATGAGTGAGTACACATAGCAGAATTTGGAGAACGATACTTACAAAGACCATAACAACATCACTAATGGAGTTTTTTTAAAGGGCACAACGTGGTATTGAGCCAGGTGGGTACTTCACAGAGAATGTACCTGCTGTATGCCATTCATGTGAAAAGACTTCATGTATTGTATTCATCTGGATGTTAGGTAGTTTCATTCCCTTAGTTTGTCGAATGAAACTACCGAACAGTCAGACCACCCCTGTGTGAAGTGTGTCTTCAATTACCCGTTGCAACATTGTTGCGAACAGGTAATTGACAAGCTAAGTAGCCGTCCTTTGTTCTCGGGGGTGGCCGCCGTTCGAAAAACGAACACGTGGCGGCGGCCATTTTAAACCTCCCGAACAGCAGTGTTTTGCCGTCGAGTGTCTGGAACTCAAATCGGACACTCGACTAGGCGAACACCGCTGAAACCTCCACAAGCCCGGTCCGTTCGGTAGATAGAAAGAACCGAACGAGGGGATTCAGGCGAACCCTCCCTAGCCTCTGTATCTAGAGGTTTTCGTGCCATTTATTCCCTGACTCCAGGACCGACCGCAGGGCCCATTCACATGGAACCGCATTTGGTTGTTTCACACAGTGTGGTCGGTTATTTTATTCCCTCCATAAATTTCCCGAACCCCTGGTCTGATCTGGGTGATTTTTGGATATGTTGTTCACCCAGATCAGGGCTACCAGGGGATGTATGATTTAAAGTGGTACACCTAAGTTTAGGGGTACATCCAGAAACGGGGGGAATTGGTGTGCTGGATAAGGGGATTATGATGCAGGCTGAGGGGAGGAGATCTGTGGGAGGTTACCAGAGCAGGATTGGCTACTGTACTAATGAATGAAAATCCCTCCCTTGCATGGGAGCAGGATTTAAAAGGCCACTGTCTGAATAAAGCTTTAGTTCTGCTCCTGAAACTGTGTGTCGTCCAGTTATTGGGATTGCTGTTGGGATACTGCTGTTATTTTGCCTGCTGGATACTTTGCCCTATGGATTTATAATTGCTTGTTCCTGAACCTCCCTGGGATTCAAAGTGGAGATAGGCTGTGTAATACCAGCTCTCCGCTACACACCATAACTGATGAAAAGAGTTAACAGAACCTCTTTAAATATAGAACAACCGCTTTAAAAGGCTGAACTTCATGGATTTTGTTTTTAAATCTAGATTTAAGGGTCGACAAGTATTGATTTTTTAGAGCCGATACCGATACTCTGTGAACTTTCAGGCCGATAGCCGATAACTTACCGATATTCTGTATATTTACCATTTTGGAAAAACACAAAAAACTATTTCTAAAGGTAAATGCACAAACTATACATGCCATGTGTAGTGGATGCAGTGTGTTTAGACACTGGAGCTGTGTAGTGTGTGTAGTGGATGCAGTGTGTATTTGTGTAGTGTGAGTATATAATGAATGCAGAGTGTTTGTGCAGTGTGTATTGTGAATGCAGTGTGTGGGTAGTGTGCGTAAAGTGAATGCTGTATATACTAAATGCAAAGTGCGTGTATAGTGAATGCAGTGTGTTTATTTGTATTGTATGTGTGTATACTGAGGTGTGTTTGTGTAGTGTGCATTATATAAACACACTGCATTATATACACACACACTGCATATTATACAGTGTTTGTGTAGTGTGTGTATATAATGCAGTGTGTTTGTGTAGTGTGCATTATATAAACACTACACAAACACACATTGCATTATATACACTGTGTAGTGTATTTATATAATGCAGTGTTTGTGTAGTGTGCATTCTATAAACACACTGCACAAACGCTGCATTATACACACACACACTGCATTATATACACAGTGTTTGTGTAGTGTATTTATATAATGCAGTGCGTTTGTGTAGTGTGCATTATATAAACACAATGCACAAACACACTGCATTATTTACACACACACTACACAAACACACTGCATTATATACAGTGTGTTTGTGTAGTGTGTTTATATAATTAAGTGTGTTTGTGTAGTGTGCATTATATAAACCCACTGCATTATATACACACACTGAATTATATACAGTGTTTGTGTAGTGTATGTGTATATAATGGAGTGTGTTTGTGTATGTATGTAATAGAGGGGGCATTTTTTATTATAACTTTTTTTTATATATATTTAATTATTATTATTTTTTTGTCCCCCCTCCCTGCTTGTTACCTGGCCAGGGAGAGGGGATATGTTAATCCCTGGTGGTCCATTGGCATTGTCTGAGCAGTGGGGGGGCCGGCAGCAAGCATTTACTTACCTTCCCAGCAGCTCCTCCAGTTCCCCGTGGCAACGCTCTGACGGCCGCAGGTCTCGCGAGATTTACACAGGGAGCTTGAGGAGCTGCTGGGAAGGTAAATAAATGCTTGCTGCCGGGCTTGTAATGAGCCTGGCGGTCCTAGGAGGTATTATCGGCAATATCGGTATCTATATTGGGCGATACCGATATTGCTGAAAATACCGAATTTCGGACGATAATCGGTCGATCCCTATCTAAATTACTATGCTTGTGAGAGATGGTGCCCATTGCCTACTGGCACCATAACCACTACATCAGGTTGTAATGATTATTGCACTCAGACAGCCTCTTTAATTTATATGGCATGCTTGTCCAGGCACAGTGGGAACAAGTAAATACAATTAAAGGTTACTCCAGCCACCATGACCACTTCAGCGATTTGAAGTGGTCATTGTGGTAGGAGTCTGTATGTACCGTGTTTCAGCCTGAACATACTGTGATATGTGTAATTGTGTGAAGGGAGCTAGTTGCACCGCAAGCACATGACATTGCCAGCCCACGACTTTTCAGAGCCGGCAACGTCAATTCTGTGCATAAAATAGTCTGTTGTCAGGGCATAGTTCATGCTGGTAACATACATAGAAATCATTCCCTTGCAAGCAGAGCTTCTGCAAGGGAAAGCTAGCTCTTACCTCTCACCCTCTCTGTGATCCCTCCATCCATCCTCAGTTCCACGTTGGTGCAGAGTCAGCGAAATAGTCCAATTACAACACCAGGAGGGGGACGCAAAAAAACAGTGCCAAGACCAGTGCGTAAATGGTTTTTTTTTGTTTGTTTTTTTACAGGTTTTGCTATAAACAATGACAGGGAGCAGTGTGAATTTCTAAAGTTAACATTTTTCAGATGTCACAAAAACACCTTTTTGTTAAATACAGGGGATACGTAAATGCAATGTTAAAAATCATGGAAAGTGACTTGTAATAACAAGCGAATAGGAGGCTGTTATCTCCTGAATTACAAGCTGTGTTTCCAGCAGCTACAAGGAGGCTTTGTGACGTATGAATTTTCTAGAGATGAATATGAATCCACACATCTTTTCGACGTCAAGAGATGGCCAGCTGCCAAGCCCACCATTTAAACAAAGAGTTCTAGAATCGGCAGCAGTGGCAAGAATCTACAATGCCAGCTCTCAGGCAGATGATGACTTTTCTTGTGTTAATCGTGACAAAGTAATTTATTACCATATGTAGAAAACGAGTAAATGTTTTACTTTACAGTATTACACTTTACGGTTTGTTATCAGTACTGGTTTTTAATACATAAATCAATCAACCTCTGAAAGACGGAGGCAATTCTACAAGATCTGACCAAAACAAAACTTAGAATTTGACTATATATCTGTTCAACCATAATTTACCTCCTTCCTATTAAGGACATCCACACTTTCATATACATACATATATATATATATATATATATATATATATATATATATATATAAAATTTTGTTCAGGCGAAACAGGGCTTTCATTTTACATCAAATGTTTATGTATGAAATTATATATAAATAAAATCTAAAAGAAAAGTGTGAGAAATTAAGACATTGTTATTTTCCATGTTCTGCATGGCAAATTAACTGTTAATGTCATAATACTATTGTCTCTCACTGCAATAAAACACACGTTTGTATGCTTTGATGTCCCATGAGTAGATCAATGCCCCCCTATGCACAGTTTTCATGGTCTTTTGACCCCCCCCCCCTATGTAGAGGTTTTATGGGGTCCCCCAATATATAATTAATAAAATCACCAAATTATGTAAAAATACATAATTACACATATAAATTTGATATATTTATTTTTTTATAATTTAGTTTTTTACTATTTCATTAACAAAGTGGGTTTTTTTTTGTTTGTTTTTAAATCAATAGGCATAGGCCTTGAGCTGCAGCTCCATCAGCCCCTATGTTAATCCAGTGTCCTGGTGGTAGGAAAAGTCTCACTGAGAACGCATGCATCAACTGTTGCTGTCATTGAAAAGAACAAAAGTTAATGATCTTTTAATCAATATATTACATGGCAAGTTTGCTTGGAATATTAAATAAATCCATTTAAAAACACAATGAATTAAGGGAAAGAACAACAAAATGTCAACCTCATTGCATGATTTCGCAAAGTCATTACATTGATAATATCCTGGGAATTTGGATTAGAATGATCCAAGCAGCAACACCTCCAAATCCATGTAAACGGTTCCACTCCACTATGAACTTCAGCCTGAACACATCAATATAACTGACACAGAAGACACATCAAAAGACAAAAAACAAACAGGCATCACTGTATCCCAGACTCACAGACAGACAGACACATTCCTGGGAGTTCTGACAATAAGATGGAATGTAGAACTTTTTTCGTACTAGTGATAAAGTCTACTTTAAATAATGTAATAAGATTCCCAAGTGTACCTGTAAAGTGTTGCTTAGATGGGTCTACTCCTATTTTGGCAATACAAGCCATCATCCAAACAATCACATCATTGCTTGAAATATTATTAGAGTGGTGTTAAAATTAAATCTATGGCATTATTTTGTCATTTAATAAATGCAACGCCAGACAACGCAGCAATTCATTCTACAACAGCCCCTCAGACACATGCGGGTAAGACCAGTATGATACGCCTGTCAGACGTCCAAAAGCTCAGCTGTGACAGCATTATTGTAGGGACAAAGCATATTAGCAGTGCTCTTTCAACTGTATAATGTTCATAACAGAAACCCACGCTTGCACACTTTGACACTTATCCCATCTGACAGACGTTTGGCGCTCCCAGGTGCCCACACAAACTCTTGCATTAAATCTCTGGCATAGACCCAAAATGCAGGGAAATCCCTCTAAAATGGCCCCACTGCGAAATCAGTACCCACGGCCATATGCTACCAATCCCATTAGCGAGTCTTTTCTCAGATGGCCTCTTGTTTTCTAGTCACATTTGCCAAAAAAAGGACAAGCTATATGCATGACATTGTATTTGTCGTTGCTGTTCTGTGTATTTTATTTCTGTCACCTGGGATGTGTACCCGTCTCGTTCCTGGAAATACTTTAGCTAACAATGTAAAAAATGTTTAGGGCTACACTACAATAAAAAAAAAAAAAAAAAGTGTAATAAACAGATAACCATTATATGACAGATTTTCCTAGCAACTTCAGGTCAGAGCAAAAGTTAAATTTTTCATGGCAAATATAATTTAGTATAAAACCAAAATTAATAATAGGCTTATTTTGGTGCAGACCATGTCCATCCTCAATGATGTTCCCTCTTATATAATTTAAACCTGTAAATTCAAAGGATACTCTAAGCATCAAAACAGCTTTAGCTTTATGAAATGGTTTTGGTATATAAATCATGCCCCTACAATCTGACTGCTCAGTTTTGGGCCGTTTAGGATTTAAATCCCTTTGCTGGTGCAGTCCTAGTCATACCTCCCGTGGCTGGACTCATACAGCTTTCCATAACACTTCCTAAAAAACATGTTTAATGGAAATTGCACAGTGTGTAGAAGTTCCTATCACCTCCTCTGTTAATTGACTGTTAGAGACTGCAGCAGCCTCCTCTATGTGAATACAGTTTATTAAAAGAGGAGATGAGAACTTCCAAAGTAAACACAGGGCATAGCATATGCCAAAACTGCTTTATTAAACAAGAGTTGTTTTGTGTAGCGTTTCTCAAGAAAATTCAAGAAACAGACATTCAAGGTACTTTCATCCTTATGACCTTCGATTTTCAAAGACCCTCATGTTCACAGTCATCATGACGACTCCAAACTCTGCCAAAACTTCTCATTGAAAAATATTGGATTAGATGATTCTCAATAAGATGCACTGTGATGGCAGATTGTGGCAAGTACCGCACGCATGTGATGTAGATCTGCATTGATAGTTATGAAAAACAAATTAGAATCATGATTGAAGATCTCATAGAGGGTGAATGAGGCTGCGGAGAGAAAACTGTCTCAACGCTAGATTGCAAGTTAACTTAATGACTTAAAAACACACGGGAGGGTCCTAATCGTATACTAACATCAGAGTCACTAGCTATTGGCAACCAGAAATGTAACCCTGGTGAGTAGAAATTCATCCTTTATGGATATGCTATGGCTTGCAGTGGCAATTAACTTTTAAACTTTGACAAGTAGAAAGGGACTTCAAATTTTGAGCCCTGCTAACATTATACATATATCTATTTTTTCCAGTTACAATGTTCCTATAAAAACTTATTCAACCCAGCTTGACCAAGATTGGCCAAGTTACAGTGCAGTAAGTAGCTACCTATCTCCCTAGAGAAAACATGCAGTTCAAATAAATCCAAATAAATTCAGCATCACAATCTAGAAACTAAACCTATCAATAATTTAATGATAAAACCGATCAAAGCAAATTCAGAAATACAGGAAAAATAAGTGGTATTGGGCTTGGCTTATGGAAGCATTCAAACCAATTAAACTTACATGTAATTATACATAAGGTA